ATACCTCCCTCCCTCTCATCCTTCCTTCCCTCTCACACACACTTATTTTATCTGTTTTTTTTTCTCTATCTACCTGGCGCCTGTCGACAATTTAACTGTAAAAGGTTCAAGGGGTCACCGTCCCTTCATAGCGCTCCCTGTTGGCTGATCAATCAGACTGCTGGTGTTCGTAGCGCGCACACACTCCGTTAACACCACAACTTGGTTGATCAGCCATATCAGGTTGTTGGTGGTATATACTCCAACATGACCACCACAGCCTTCTTATTCAACAACTGCCTCCAGGACTTTTAGTAATGTATAAGCAGGCCCCGTTTATACAGCAGGTTATGTTCTGGGATACTGTAAGGCCCCGTTTATACAGCAGGTTATGTTCTGGGCTACTGTAAGGCCCCGTTTATACAGCAGGTTATGCTCTGGGCTACTATAAGGTCCCAGTTATACAGCAGGTTATGTTCTGGGCTACTGGAAGGCCCCGCTTATACAGCAGGTTATGTTCTGGGCTACTGTAAGGCCCCGTTATACAGCAGGTTATGTTCTGGGCTACTGTAAGGTCCCAGTTATACAGCAGGTTATGTTCTGGGCTACTGAAGGCCCGCTTATACAGCAGGTTATGTTCTGGGCTACTGTAAGTCCCACTTATACAGCAGGCTATGTTCTGGGCTACTGTAAGGCCCCGTTTATACAGCAGGTTATGTTCTGGGCTACTGTAAGGTCCCGCTTATACAGCAGGTTATGTTCTGGGCTACTGTAAGGTCCCACTTATACAGCAGGTTATGTTCTGGGCTACTGTAAGGCCCCGTTTATACAGCAGGTTATGTTCTGGGCTACTGTAAGGTCCCGCTTATACAGCAGGTTATGTTCTGGGCTACTGTAAGGTCCCACTTATACAGCAGGTTATGTTCTGGGCTACTGTAAGGCCCTGCTTATTCAGCAGGTTATGCTCTGGGCTACTATAAGGTCCCACTTATACAGCAGGTTATGTTCTGGGCTACTGTAAGGCCCCGCTTATACAGCAGGTTATGTTCTGGGCTACTGTAAGGCCCGCTTATTCAGCAGGTTATGTCTGGGCTACTATAAGGCCCCTTATACAGCAGGTTATGTTCTGGGCTACTGTAAGGTCCCACTTATACAGCAGGTTATGTTCTGGGCTACTGTAAGGTCCCACTTATACAGCAGGTTATGTTCTGGGCTACTGTAAGGCCCCGTTTATACAGCAGGTTATGTTTGGGCTACTGTAAGGTCCCACTTATACAGCAGGTTATGTTCGGGCTACTGTAAGGCCCCGTTATACAACAGTTATGTTCTGGGCTACGTAAGGTCCCAGCTTATTCAGCAGGTTATGTTTGGGCTACTGTAAGGTCCCGCTTATACAGCAGGTTATGTTCTGGGCTACTGTAAGGTCCCACTTATACAGCAGGTTATGTTCCGGGCTACTGTAAGGCCCCGTTTATACAGCAGTTATGTTCTGGGCTACTGTAAGGCCCGCTTATACAGCAGGTTATGCTTGGGCTACTTAAGGTCCCAGTTATACAGCAGGTTATGTTCTGGGCTACTGTAAGGTCCCACTTATACAGCAGGTTATGTTCCGGGCTACTGTAAGGCCCCGTTTATACAGCAAGTTATGTTCTGGGCTACTGTAAGGTCCCGCTTATACAGCAGGTTATGTTCTGGGCTACTGTAAGGTCCCACTTATACAGCAGGTTATGTTCTGGGCTACTGTAAGGTCCCACTTATACAGCAGGTTATGTTCTGGGCTACTGTAAGGTCCCTGCTTATTCAGAGGTTATGTTCTGGGCTACTGTAAGGTCCCAGCTTATACAGCAGGTTATGTTCTGGGCTACTGTAAGGTCCCACTTATACAGCAGGTTATGTTCTGGGCTACTGTAAGGCCCCACTTATACAGCAGGTTATGTTCTGGGCTACTGTAAGGCCCCGCTTATACAGCAGGTTATGTTCTGGGCTACTGTAAGGTCCCAGTTATACAGCAGGTTATGTTCTGGGCTACTGTAAGGTCCCACTTATACAGCAGGTTATGTTCTGGGCTACTGTAAGGTCCCACTTATACAGCAGTGGGCTACTGGGCTACTGTAAGGTCCCACTTATACAGCAGTGGGCTACTGGGCTACTGTAAGGTCCCACTTATACAGCAGGTTATGTTCTGGGCTACTGTAAGGTCCCACTTATACAGCAGGTTATGTTCTGGGCTACTGTAAGGCCCAGCTTATACAGCAGGTTATGTTCTGGGCTACTGTAAGGTCCCACTTATACAGAGGTTGTGTTCTGGGCTACTGTAAGGTCCCACTTATACAGCTAGGTTATGTTCTGGGCTACTGTAAGGTCCCACTTATACAGCAGGTTATGTTCTGGGCTACTGTAAGGTCCCACTTATACAGCAGGTTATGTTCTGGGCTACTGTAAGGTCCCACTTATACAGCAGGTTATGTTCTGGGCTACTGTAAGGTCCCACTTATACAGCAGGTTATGTTCTGGGCTACTGTAAGGTCCCACTTATACAGCAGGTTATGTTCTGGGCTACTGTAAGGTCCCACTTATACAGCAGGTTATGTTCTGGGCTACTGTAAGGTCCCACTTATACAGCAGGTTATGTTCTGGGCTACTGTAAGGTCCCACTTATACAGCAGGTTATGTTCTGGGCTACTGTAAGGTCCCAGTTATACAGCAGGTTATGTTCTGGGCTACTGTAAGGTCCCACTTATACAGCAGGTTATGTTCTGGGCTACTGTAAGGTCCCACTTATTCAGCAGGTTATGTTCTGGGCTACTGTAAGGTCCCGCTTATACAGCAGGTTATGTTCTGGGCTACTGTAAGGTCCCACTTATACAGCAGGTTATGTTCTGGGCTACTGTAAGGCCCCACTTATACAGCAGGTTATGTTCTGGGCTACTGTAAGGTCCCACTTATACAGCAGGTTATGTTCTGGGCTACTGTAAGGCCCCGCTTATACAGCAGGTTATGTTCTGGGCTACTGTAAGGCCCCGCTTATACAGCAGGTTATGTTCTGGGCTACTGTAAGGCCCCACTTATACAGCAGGTTATGTTCTGGGCTACTGTAAGGTCCCACTTATACAGCAGGTTATGTTCTGGGCTACTGTAAGGTCCCACTTATACAGCAGGTTATGTTCTGGGCTACTGTAAGGTCCCACTTATACAGCAGGTTATGTTCTGGGCTACTGTAAGGTCCCACTTATACAGCAGGTTATGTTCTGGGCTACTGTAAGGTCCCACTTATACAGCAGGTTATGTTCTGGGCTACTGTAAGGTCCCGCTTATTCAGCAGGTTATGTTCTGGGCTACTGTAAGGTCCCACTTATACAGCAGGTTATGTTCTGGGCTACTGTAAGGTCCCGCTTATACAGCAGGTTATGTTCTGGGCTACTGCTGTAAAGCAAAAATCGCCGTGAAGTGAAACAGACTTTTTTCACTTTCAAATACATATAAAACCCTGATAAGTTTACACTCGTATATTAAGTGAGCAATAGAGCTAGGTCTAATATATATATATACAGTACACACATTACTTACTTTAAAATATTTTCGTCCTTAGCTTATTGTGAGTGGTGAATATATTTATTGTAGGAAGTCTTGAGTAAATGAAGAATGACCAAGTGAAAACCACTGCATTAACCAAACTGTAAAGTGAAGCGCTGTAAAGCGGAACTACTCCTGTAGTCAAAAGGAATCCTTAAACCCGTAAGGGCTATGCAGCACCTGAGGAATGAGAGGGAATCAGGTTTGATCCAAGAAAGAGGGATGTACATTTGATTAGTTTCCAAGGTTTTTTTTTTTACTCCTGGAGCCCGGCCATGGGACAGGCTCGTCTTGTGCTTGTCTGGTTAGGCAGGTTATTGCTGCTGCTAGTCCACTGACCCACATATCCATCACAGCTTGGTTGATCTGGCACCTGGTGAACATGTTCAGTTTCCCCTTGAGGATTTCTACACTTGTTCCAGCAGTGTTTCTGATAACTTCTGATAAGATGTTGAATAATCCGTGGCCACAAATGCTGATACAATGTTCTCTTATTGTGTCCACGGCATCCCTGCTTTTCATTCGGTTTACTTTACACTTCCTCCCATATCTCTCACTCCAATATGTTATGACAGTGTACAGATTTGGAACAAGGCCCAGAGATACCTTCCAGGTATATATTATCATGTATCTCTCTCTCCTCTGCTCCAGTGACTACATATTTAGGACAGTGAGACGTTCCCAATAATTTAAATGCTTTATTCGTTTTATGTTGGCCGTAAATGATCACTATTTGTTCCATTTCCGATTTCTCTCCTGCCCTGAACGGGGCTGTCAACACTGAACAAAATTCTAAATAAGAGAGCACAAGTCATTTGAATAATTTCATCACTGGCATTATTTCTCTTGTTTTGAATGTTCTCGTTATCCACCCTGATATATGCCTGGCTGTTGTCATATTTACTTGTTTCTTGTTCCAATTCCTTAAATCAAGAGCTCTTCACTATTATCAAGGCACCACCATTAAACAGAGGTGTTATTTTGAACCATCTAGCACAAAAACCACCACCCCTATTTTCGTGGTGATGGTGGTGGTGGTAGGCACCTTGCCTACTGTACTATTCTGGTTGGCCACAACTTCCCAGGTGCCAGATATAAACTTTATGGAAACGCACCAACACCCACACATAAAGCAACAGCAGAGAGAGAGAGAGAGAGAGAGAGAGAGAGAGAGGAGAGAGAGAGAGAGAGAGAGAGAGAGAGAGAGAGAGAGAGAGAGAGAGAGAGACAGAGAGAGAGAGAGACAGAGACTCAATATGACACCAGTAACTGAAAACATTTAACATCACTTGGGTAGTTAACCAAGACACTGCTACTAACTCTAGACATTGTAAACACTGTTAAACACAGTTAGGCACTACTAAACTGTTAGACACTGCTACACGTTGCTAGATAACGTTACCTGTGCTTACTCCTTTCGTAATTATTTTTATGACAACTAAACTTACCACTCAACTCAGCTTAGATTTCGTCTTCTATGTATCGTTCGTACATCCAGTCCGGAATAATTCTCCACTGCCGTCAATCCGCATTCGTAACTTGTTTCATATACGCCTTTTGTTATGTACTGGGTTCGTGAACACAATCCGCCTTTAAAGCCTTGATGAACTGCTTGTCGTTCGTGCAATCAATCCGTATTTATAACGTGGCATTATCTATGCGTTCGTGACAATAATCCGCCTTTACAATGCGTTCGTGACAATAATCCGCCTTTACAGTCTTACTACAATGTTCGTCGTTCGTGCGATCAATTCATCTCTGTTTATTTTCAAAACTGGTTTGTGTATCTGGATTCTCAGTGGTTTACTGAAGTAGTGAACCACTGTCACCACCACTACCCTGTGCTAACACTATCACCACTCACCATCACTACACTGTGCTAACACTATCACCATCACTAAACTGTGCTAACACTATCGCCACTCTCACCATCACTACATTCGTTATTAACATTATACTAATACTATCACCATCACTACTTAGACTAGAATACCTATCACCATAGTCCTGCACATTTAACACAAGAGATGACAGAGGACAGTATGAAATAAGGCAACCAGTCCCTCAGATTCCTAGAGATCTACACAGGGAGGACCACACTGATAACACTTAGCCCACCGTTACCAGAGCCTAGAGTCATATATACTGCTGCTACCAGGGCCTAAAGACTTGTATACTGCTGCTACCAGAGCCTAGTCACACATACTGCCACTACCAGAGCCTAGAGTCACACATACTGCCACTACCAGAGCCTAGTTACATATACTGCTGCTACCAGACCCTAGAGTCACACATACTGCCATTCCCAGAGGCTCGAGTCGCATATACTGTCACTACCAAAGCCTAGTCACATATGCTGCCACTACCAGAGCCTATAGTCACATATACTGCTGCTACCAGAGCCTAGAGTCACATATACTGCCACTATCTGAGCCGCAGTCACATATTTACTGTGAGAGACAAGCTCACAGGGGTGCTTCTGTATCAGTGTGAAGTAGGTATGAGAGAGCCAGGAGGAGGCCCAACACGCGCGAATGCCACCATATCTCAGTGCCAACTGACTGACTAGCTGCCTGCCTGCCTGTGAGAGTGCCACACTGGCACTCCCACCTTCTCTCTCTCTCTCTCTCTCTCACCCTCACTCCCAGTCTTCTATCCCTCTCTCATTCCCAGCTCTTTCTCTTTCTCCCAGCCCTCTCACCCTCATTCCCAGCTCTCTCACCCTCACTCCCATTCTCTCTCTCTCTCTCTCTCTCTCTCTCTCTCGTGTGTACTGAAGCAGCCAATGAATCCAGGGGTTTGAGTGTGAGTTAGTGTACTGGGTCAGGAGGCAGAGGGCACTAACTACACCCAACTACAGTTGACCAGGAACCCCTGGTGTAGTCTACAGTGGAACACTACGGAACCTCGGTAGCACCAGCAACCACTACAGACTGTAGTGGTTGCTGCAGACTGTACCAGGAACCACTGATGCAGTCTTCAGTGGAACATTAAGTGGAGCCCCAGCAGGCCAATATAACACTACGTAACTCTCAAAAAGAAACAGTGAGTGCAGCTCTGTTACTGTGTCTTAAAGCTGTCATAGTTGCCAATCCTCTGTCCTACTGAAGTCTGCCACTTCAAGCTGACACTACTGAAGGCTCCCAGCTCAGGCTGACACTAATGAAGGCTCCCAGCTCAGGCTGACACTACTGAAGGCTCCCAGCTCAGGGTGACACTACTGAAGGCTCCCAGCTCAGGCTGACACTACTGAAGTCTGCCAGTTCAGGCTGACACTACTGAAGACTCCTAGCTCAGGCTGACACTACTGAAGCTCCAGTCAAGCTGAACTACTGAAGTCTCCAGTCAGCTGACACTACTGAAGTCTGCCAGTTCAAGCTGACACTACTGAAGTCTGCCAGTTCAGGCTGACACTACTGAAGACTCCTAGCTCAGGCTGACACTACTGAAGTCTGCCAGTTCAAGCTGACACTACTGAAGTCTGCCAGTTCAAGCTGACACTACTGAAGTCTCCCAGCTCAGGCTGACACTACTGAAGTCTGCCAGTTCAAGCTGACACTACTGAAGTCTGCCAGTTCAAGCTGACACTACTGAAGTCTGCCAGTTCAAGCTGACACTACTGAAGTCTGCCAGTTCAAGCTGACACTACTGAAGTCTGCCAGTTCAAGCTGACACTACTGAAGTCTCCCAGCTCAGGCTGAGACTACTGAAGTCTGCCAGTTCAAGCTGACACTACTGAAGTCTCCAGTTCAAGCTGACACTACTGAAGTCCAGCTCAGGCTGACACTCTGAAGTCTCCAGCTCAGCACACTACTGAAGTCTCCCAGCTCAGGCTGAGACTACTGAAGTCTGCCAGTTCAAGCTGACACTACTGAAGTCTCCCAGCTCAGGCTGACACTACTGAAGACTCCCAGCTCAGGCTGACACTGCTGAAGTCTCCCAGCTCAGGCAAACACTACTGAAGTCTCCCAGCTCAGGTTAACACTACTGAAGTCTCCCAGCTCAGGCTGACACTACTGAAGTCTCCCAGCTCAGGCTGACACTACTGAAGTCTCCCAGCTCAGGTTAACACTACTGATGTCTCCCAGCTCAGGTTAACACTATTGAAGTCTCCCAGCTCAGGTGACACTACTGATGTCTCCCCAGCTCAGGTCTGAACACTACTGATGTCTCCCAGCTCAGGCTTAACACTACTGATGTCTCCCAGCTCAGGTTAACACTACTGATGTCTCCCAGCTCAGGTTAACACTACTGATGTCTCCCAGCTCAGGCTAACACTACTGATGTCTCCCAGCTCAGGTTAACACTACTGATGTCTCCCAGCTCAGGTTAACACTACTGATGTCTCCCAGCTCAGGTTAACACTACTGATGTCTCCCAGCTCAGGTTAACACTACTGATGTCTCCCAGCTCAGGTTAACACTACTGATGTCTCCCAGCTCAGGTTAACACTACTGATGTCTCCCAGCTCAGGTTAACACTACTGATGTCTCCCAGCTCAGGTTAACACTACTGATGTCTCCCAGCTCAGGTTAACACTACTGATGTCTCCCAGCTCAGGTTAACACTACTGATGTCTCCCAGCTCAGGTTAACACTATTGATGTCTCCCAGCTCAGGTTAACACTATTGATGTCTCCCAGCTCAGGTTAACACTACTGATGTCTCCCAGCTCAGGTTAACACTACTGATGTCTCCCAGCTCAGGTTAACACTACTGATGTCTCCCAGCTCAGGTTAACACTACTGATGTCTCCCAGCTCAGGTTAACACTACTGATGTCTCCCAGCTCAGGTTAACACTACTGATGTCTCCCAGCTCAGGTTAACACTATTGTGTAACTCCAGCTCAGGTTAACACTATTGATGTCTCCAGCTCGTTACACTACTGATGTCTCCCAGCTCAGGTTAACACTACTGATGTCTCCCAGCTCAGGTTAACACTACTGATGTCTCCCAGCTCAGGTTAACACTACTGATGTCTCCCAGCTCAGGTTAACATATTTAAACACTATGTATGTGACTCATCGTGTGTGACAGAATATGACAAGAAAAATATAGCCAACTTTTGTTGCCACTGTGTAACTATCACATAGAATAGTGTAGCAACACACTGTTGGTGTTGCCACTGTGTAACTATCAGAGAATAGTGTAGCAACACACTGCTGGTGTTCCCACTGTGTAACTATCAGAGAGGGTAGTGTAGCAGCACACTGCTGGTGTTCCCACTGTGTAACTATCAGAGAAGGTAGTGTAGCAACACACTGCTGGTGTTGCCACTGTGTAACTATCAGAGAATAGTGTAGCAACACACTGCTGGTGTTCCCACTGTGTAACTATCAGAGAATAGTGTAGCAACACACTGCTGGTGTTGCCACTGTGTAACTATCATATAGAATAGTGTAGCAACACACTGCTGGTGTTGCCACTATGTAACTATCATATAGAATAGTGTAGCAACACACTGCTGGTGTTGCCACTGTGTAACTATCACAGAGAATAGTGTAGCAACACACTGCTGGTGTTGCCACTGTGTAACTATCACATAGAATAGTGTAGCAACACACTGCTGGTGTTGCCACTGTGTAACTATCACAGAGAATAGTGTAGCAACACACTGCTGGTGTTGCCACTGTGTAACTATCACAGAGAATAGTGTAGCAACACACTGCTGGTGTTGCCACTGTGTAACTATCACAGAGAATAGTGTAGCAACACAGTGCTGGTGTTGCCACTGTGTAACTATCAGAGAATAGTGTAGCAACACACTGCTGGTGTTCCCACTGTGTAACTATCAGAGAATAGTGTAGCAACACACTGCTGGTGTTGCCACTGTGTAACGATCACAGAGAATAGTGTAGCAACACACTGCTGGTGTTGCCACTGTGTAACGATCACAGAGAATAGTGTAGCAACACACTGCTGGTGTTGCCACTGTGTAACGATCACAGAGAATAGTGTAGCAACACACTGCTGGTGTTGCCACTGTGTAACGATCACAGAGAATAGTGTAGCAACACACTGCTGGTGTTGCCACTGTGTAACTGCACCTTCAACCAACACAAATCACAACACCTGTGATACCTTTGACAGATTTAGAGTTTTTTTTTTACTCTTGGAGTCAGGCTTTTTCCTGCTGACTGCCTGTTCAAGCAGGCTGTTGCTGGAGGCCCGCTGGTCCACACACCCATCACAGTCTAACTGATGGAGAGGGAGTGGAGAGGAAGAGACGAAGATGAAGAGGGAGGAGGAAGAGATGGAGAAGATGAAGGAGGAGGAAGTGATGGAGAAAATAGAAACATATATAGTGAAGACAGTGGATAATATAAGAACGTGATAAAGGAAGGAAATAACAAGATGATAAAGAATGATGGGTGTATAAGAGAAGACTGAAGGGTATACAGAAGAGAAGAATGAAGAGTATAAAGAAGAATGAAGGGTATAAAGAAGAATGAAGGGTATAAAGAAGAATGAAGGGTATAAAGAAGAATGAAGAGTATAAAGAAGAATGAAGAGTATAAAGAAGAATGAAGAGTATAAAGAAGAATGAAGAGTATAAAGAAGAATGAAGGGTATAAAGAAGAATGAAGAGTATAAAGAAGAATGAAGGGTATAAAGAAGAATGAAGGGTATAAAGAAGAATGAAGGGTATAAAGAAGAATGAAGGGTATAAAGAAGAATGAAGTGTATAAAGAAGAGGGAAGAACAAGGGAGAACAAAAGATTTGTACATGTATTATTCAACCCAGGCTACTCTCTTTCTCCTCCTCCTTCCCTCCTCTTCCTCTCCTCGCACCTTCTCCCGTTCCAACCCCTTGGAGTTATCACTCTCCTTCAAGGACCCCCTGCGTGTTGCTCTCTCTCTCTCTCTCTACCCTCTTCTCTCTCTCTACTCTCTCTCTCTACCATCTTCTCTCTCTCTACTCTCTCCCTCCCCTCTTCTCTCTTTCCACTCTTCTTGTCTCTCACACAACTTGAAAAAACAACCTGGACAAGATCTGGACCTGTGCTAATCCAGAATAATACCCAACACCTACTGGTTTAACACCTCCTAAATATAGTAAAAATAATAATTACAATAGTAATAATAACGAAATAATAATGATTACAACAATAAAATACTAATAATAATAATAATAAAATAATAATGGTTTAGTGACTGCCTTCTACACAGAACTGCTGCTTTTATTGCGCTTTATTCCCCTCATTTTATTGCCACTTTTATTACTCACCTTTACCCTCATTAACCAATTATCGCAGTTACTGATGAATAAGACACCTGTGTAGCACACCTGGGTGTCTTTATTGAAGACACATGTGTAACACCTGGGTGTCTTTATTGATGAAAATCCATGTGAAACACCTGGGTGCCTTTATTGACGAAATGTTTCATCAATAAAGACACCCAGGTGTGACATGTGTCTTATCAATACACACCCAGGTGTGACATGTGTCTTATCAATACACACCCAGGTGTGGCATGTGTCTTATCAATACACACCCAGGTGTGACATGTGTCTTATCAATACACACCCAGGTGTGACATGTGTCTTATCAATACA